AACACATCTCAGACTCCGACACATCTCAGACTCCGACAGATCCAACACATCTCAGACTCCGACACATCTCAGACTCCAACAGATCCAACACATCTCAGACTCCGACACATCTCAGACTCCGACAGATCCAACACATCTCAGACTCCGACACATCTCAGACTCCAACAGATCCAACACATCTCAGACTCCGACACATCTCAGACTCCAACAGATCCAACACATCTCAGACGCCGACACATCTCAGACGCCGACACATCTCAGACTCCGACACATCTCAGACTCCGAAACATCTCAGACTCAGACACATCTCAGACTCAGACACATCTCAGACTCAGACTTCAACACATCTCAGACTCCGACACATCTCAGACTCAGACTCCAACACATCTCAGACTCCAACACATCTCAGACTCCAACAGATCCAACACATCTCAGACTCCGACACATCTCAGACTCCAACACATCTCAGACTCCAACACATCTCAGACTCGAACACATTCAACACATCTCAGACTCCAACACATCTCAGACTCCAACACATCTCAGACTCCAACACATTCAACACATCTCAGACTCCAACAGATCTCAGACTCCAACACATCTCAGACTCCAACACATCTCAGACTCAGACTTCAACACATCTCAGACTCCAACACATCTCAGACTCCAACACATCCAACACATCTCAGACTCCATCACATCTCAGACTCCAACACATCCAACACATCTCAGACTCCATCACATCTCAGACTCCAACACATCTCAGACTCCAACACATCCAACACATATCAGACTCCATCACATCTCAGACTCCAACACATCTCAGACTCCAACACATCCAACACATCTCAGACTCCAACACATCTCAGACTCCAACACATCCAACACATCTCAGACTCCATCACATCACAGACTCCAACACATCTCAGACTCCAACACATCCAACACATATCAGACTCCATCACATCTCAGACTCCAACACATCTCAGACTCCAACACATCTCAGACTCCACCACATCACAGAGTCAGAGACATCTCAGACTCAGACACATCTCAGACTCCACCACATCTCAGACTCCATCACATCTCAGACTCCAACACATCTCAGACTCCAACACATCTCAGACTCCAACACATCTCAGACTCCAACACATCCAACACATCTCAGACTCCATCACATCTCAGACTCCAACACATCTCAGACTCAGACTTCAACACATCTCAGACTCAGACTCCAACACATCTCAGACTCAGACTCCAACACATCTCAGACTCCACCACATCACAGAGTCAGAGACATCTCAGACTGAGACACATCTCAGACTCCACCACATCTCAGACTCCAACACATCTCAGACTCCAACACATTCAACACATCTCAGACTCCAACACATTCAACACATCTCAGACTCCAACACATCTCAGACTCCAACACATCCAACACATCTCAGACTCCATCACATCTCAGACTCCAACACATCTCAGACTCCACCACATCACAGAGTCAGAGACATCTCAGACTCAGACACATCTCAGACTCAAACACATGTCAGACTCAGACACATCTCAGACTCCAACACATCTCAGACTCAGACTCCAACACATCTCAGACTCCAACACATCTCAGACTCCACCACATCACAGAGTCAGAGACATCTCAGACTCAGACACATCTCAGACTCCACCACATCTCAGACTCCATCACATCTCAGACTCCAACACATCTCAGACTCCAACACATCTCAGACTCCAACACATCTCAGACTCCAACACATCCAACACATCTCAGACTCCAACACATCCAACACATCTCAGACTCCATCACATCTCAGACTCCAACACATCTCAGACTCAGACTCCAACACATCTCAGACTCCACCACATCACAGAGTCAGAGACATCTCAGACTGAGACACATCTCAGACTCCACCACATCTCAGACTCCAACACATCTCAGACTCGAACACATTCAACACATCTCAGACTCCAACACATCTCAGACTCCAACACATTCAACACATCTCAGACTCCAACAGATCTCAGACTCCAACACATCTCAGACTCCAACACATCTCAGACTCAGACTTCAACACATCTCAGACTCCAACACATCTCAGACTCCAACACATCCAACACATCTCAGACTCCAACACATCCAACACATATCAGACTCCATCACATCTCAGACTCCAACACATCTCAGACTCCAACACATCTCAGACTCCACCACATCACAGAGTCAGAGACATCTCAGACTCAGACACATCTCAGACTCCACCACATCTCAGACTCCATCACATCTCAGACTCCAACACATCTCAGACTCCAACACATCTCAGACTCCAACACATCTCAGACTCCAACACATCCAACACATCTCAGACTCCAACACATCCAACACATCTCAGACTCCATCACATCTCAGACTCCAACACATCTCAGACTCAGACACATCTCAGACTCCAACACATCTCAGACTCCAACACATCTCAGACTCCACCACATCACAGAGTCAGAGACATCTCAGACTGAGACACATCTCAGACTCCACCACATCTCAGACTCCAACACATCTCAGACTCCAACACATTCAACACATCTCAGACTCCAACACATTCAACACATCTCAGACTCCAACACATCTCAGACTCCAACACATCCAACACATCTCAGACTCCATCACATCTCAGACTCCAACACATCTCAGACTCCACCACATCACAGAGTCAGAGACATCTCAGACTCAGACACATCTCAGACTCAAACACATGTCAGACTCAGACACATCTCAGACTCCAACACATCTCAGACTCAGACTCCAACACATCTCAGACTCCAACACATCTCAGACTCCACCACATCACAGAGTCAGAGACATCTCAGACTCAGACACATCTCAGACTCCAACACATCTCAGACTCCAACACATCTCAGACTCCAACACATCTCAGACTCCAACACATCTCAGACTCCAACACATCTCAGACTCCAACACATCTCAGACTCCAACACATCCAACACATCTCAGACTCCAACACATCCAACACATCTCAGACTCCATCACATCTCAGACTCCAACACATCTCAGACTCAGACTCCAACACATCTCAGACTCCACCACATCACAGAGTCAGAGACATCTCAGACTGAGACACATCTCAGACTCCACCACATCTCAGACTCCAACACATCTCAGACTCCAACACATTCAACACATCTCAGACTCCAACACATCTCAGACTCCAACACATCCAACACATCTCAGACTCCATCACATCTCAGACTCCAACACATCTCAGACTCAGACTCCAACACATCTCAGACTCCACCACATCACAGAGTCAGAGACATCTCAGACACATCTCAGACTCAAACACATGTCAGACTCAGACACATCTCAGACTCCGACACATCTCAGACTCCAACACATCTCAGACTCAGACTCCAACACATCTCAGTCTCAGACACATCTCAGACTCAAACACATGTCAGACTCCAACACATCTCAGAGTCACCGCTGAAGGAAACTCTGCTGTTCTAGATTGATAAGGAAACGCACCTGAACTGTTGCTGAAGCTCAGAGGCCATGGCTGAAATATCCACATAATGATCATCATGTGTCTTCAGGAACTGAAACAGGCAGATGTGGAAAAGACCATTGAAAATACATCATACATACACACAGTGGTGCAAAGTGGGCCAAAACTATTAGAAGGGTAAGAGTTTTAAAAGAAGTCTCTTCTGCTCACCAAGGCTTCATTTATGTGATCTAATTATAGAAAAAACAGTAATATATTGTGAAATATTTTTCCTATGTGAATACACAGTAAAGTGTAATTCGTTTCTGTATTTTCAGCATCATGACTCCAGTCTTCAGTGCCTCCAGAAATCAAATTGATGTTCAGGACACATTTATGATTATTATCAATGTTGAAAACAGTAGTGTAAAATTATTTTCAGGATTCTTTGATGAATAGAAAGTAAAAAAAAAAAAAAACAGAATTGTATTCTCCAATGCAATGATGCATTAAATTGATCAAAAGTGATATTATGTTGAAAAAGCTTAAAGTTGTAAAAATATTTCTGTTTGCTATATTTTGGATCACATAAATGAATCATTGTTGAGCAGAAGAGACTTCTGTTAAAACATAAAAAAAATATCTAACCGTTTGATAATTTTGGCCATACACACACACACTTTTGAATGTACAATGTTTATATGGGAAGGAAGCATGAGAAGGAATATCATGTTATACAGGCATTCACACTACCATTTGATGTTTAAACTTGATACATAGACAAGCCAATTTTAATGTCACTAACTTAAAATCAATAAGAATCTCATTAAAATCATTACAGACTCTTTGGGGAACACATATTTTTCTTCGTATTTTTACTTATTGTACTGTATGGCTGTCTTCGCGTAGCTTTTCTTTAGATTACTTCATTATTCGCTATTGTACAGTATGGTATTATCTGAATGATAATAAATAATAAAGCTTTCATTTTACCTGATGGACTCGATGTTTGAGTCTCGGGTCTATATTATAAGCGCCGCGGTTCCTCATGGTTTATCGCACATGAAGCAATTTCGCGAATGAAATTACATTAATGTAGAGTTTAAACGAGGAGGAGAGAAACTCTCTTAAAGACAGTTTAAGAAGTTTACAGAACCATCTTTAGCATCACGCTTCTGTAACGTTACATGTGGGAACAACTGAACACACACACACACAACACACACGCTGCTGATGGCTGCTATTTAACACACGCCAGCGCCACCTGTTGGCCTGGAGATGCCAGCCAGTGTCACTGAAATGATATTACAGAGATATTAACCAAAAATGTGCTAGTTTTTTCTCCTAATGATCTCACGAAGTGGTAATATAATAATAATTTCTGCACGACTATAGTTGTCAATCGCAGAAAAAGAGGGCGGGTGCGTTATGACGTCAAAGCGACACGTATGTGCGCTATCAGTGAACGTGCGCGTTCACGTGATCACTCACAGTAGAAAATGGCGAGTCCGTGCACGAAGCGGTTGTGCACGAATGAAAGGTTTGTTTCTCGCCAGGACGCGGATTGCTGGAGGTCTGAATTCATTCACTGTGTGGGTAAGATCAGCACTCCCCGCAGAACACTCTGTTTTCATTGTTTCTTCACGGTAGTTTAATAGAAATGTGGGCACTAGTTCCTGCAGTTAGCATGCTAACGCTAACCGTCAGGATCGGATCAAACCCCGTTAATCTTTGGCTTTCGGTGCTCGACTCATAGACAGGACGAACTTCCGTTTACCTGTGATCCACCCGGTCGGGATATTTCTCGTCGGGATATTTATTAATATTCATGTAGTGTTATGTGTATTCCTTGCTCTCTGCGCGCTCACGTTCGTCTGAAACTTGTTTTTTAAATGCGCGTTCATGTGCATGAGCGTGATTGACAGATAAGCAAATGTCAGTCAGCATTGCAGAAGTGAAACTTCAACAAACGAAAATAGATGTGTGTTTACTGTTTGTGTTGACTAAACGTTTGTTTTATTCAGACTATTTATTTTGCTAAAGAACTGCCTTTTTCAAGGTTCCCTTTTGAATTTTTTTAAATATTACTGAAACATAAACATTGACACCCCCCCCTTTTAAAAACCCTGCAGATGCCCTATTTTCTATTTATTTAGTAGTGCCTATTTATACATCATAAATGATAAACCCCACACCTGGCCGCTGCTACTGGCAGGTCATGTGACTCATTGTGCATTGTGTACTGGCAGGTCATGTGACTCATTGTGTACCGGCAGATTTGCACTGAATCGCAGGACGCATCACGCACTCGTCCGTCATGTGAAGTTTCTTCTAGGGCTGGTTCGTCCGAATACCATTTTTTGAGCTTCAAAGCTTCGGTAGTGATGAACACCGAATATTCGAAGCTTCGTAATCTCTATATATCGGTCTGTCCGTTTGCATTTTGATTATTTCGAGAACCGTTCATCCAAACGTCTTCACAATGGACTGCAGTGTCGTATTTGGTGCAATATAGAGACCGGCGAGACGCGACACGTTCAGAATTAATAAACTTTTAATAAACTACAGAACAGCGTGTGCGGGAAGCCTCATGCGAGCAGAGCTCGTGCTCCGAGAACGGACACTGCAAAACACACACACAGGTCTGTTAACTTAAGCAATGTTTTTAATTTTTATTATTTTTTTTAAAAAGCAATGTTTTTAATAAGGTATAGTCTTCTCAGACTGATCTCATGAAGTAGCGTGTGTATGCCACGGCAATTTGTATTGCCATTTTTGGCGTGCTATCAAGACGCATAATCGTCTTTCAGCGTGTTTATGAACGCCGTTGACTTAACGTTATATAAATATGACTTACCTCAACCCCGTCCCTAAACCTAACCGTCACTGGGGTTAATGGCATTTATGACTGTTCCCTTACCATCCTAGGTAAATGAAAAACGAAATTTAAATTAATAAAAAACGAAATTTAAATTAATAAAACATAAAAAACGAAACATAAATGAATAAAAACGAAATTAAAAAAAAAACGATAATAATAAAAAACGAAAAACTTATGAAAAAAATATGGACAAAGCGTCTGTGACGTCACCCATAGACTCTCTGAAGAACGGGTTTGAGGCTGTTTATGGGGGGTATGGGCGGCGCCATACTGGAAAATCTTGGGAAATACACAATTCAAATGTTCAGAAAGGATTCAGAGGTGGTATGATGTGTTGGGTCAGATCATGGCCGAGACGTCAAATTCCACTCGGCGCAGCCCGTCATCAGCTGTCAATCAAAGTTATCCGCCCTTATTTGTCATGCATTTTATATCTAAATACGATCTAAACTGTGTTGGGGACAGTGGACAGGACTTGAACACTCCTCTGTTCTCCCACAGGTCTGGACAGTATCTCGGCCGTGTTGTGGAGGACCTCGGTGGTGGAGGACCTCGGGCGTCTGACAGGTGTGTTTCTCAGAACCGGGAATATATAAAGAGTCATGCATAGTCTTTAGTGTTTTGTTATAAAGTATTATTAGCCTAACCTTATTCAGTCCCTCTTGTCGTGTGATTAACATTAATGACAGACAGCAGCAGGATTATTATGTTAAGACATATTCCTTTACAGAGACCACATGCTGACTGAGGGACACAGCTTTCTGTGCACCACTGTGTGCGTGTGCGTGTGTGTGTGTGTGTGTGAGATGCATTGAGATCTTTTTCAGGTTTCTGCACTTAATAACTCTGTTTAACATCAAGCACGTCCCGCACTTTATTTTCCCATTCATGCATGTTCTTTTTGCTTTGCTTACGAAGGACTGTGTAACTTTCATTATTAATATAGCCTACAATAACAACAAAACTACATTAACGCAGTTAACACCAATGAATCGACGTTGTCATGTCTGTAGCGTCAGTGTTAGTCAGTTTTGGTAGCGCAGCTTTTGGAGCGTAGACTAGCATTCACACAGTGTCACTTGTGCTTGTTTCTTGTTTTCCATTGTAAAAGTTCATATGAATTCTTGTTTGCTGATTGGCTGCCGTGTGGGATAATCTACGTACTTAAAAATCCGATGCCAAATTTCTAGTGTTAACTTATTTTTGCTCCTTATGAAAAATAATGATATTTTAACTGTCCAATCAGATCTGTAATGTTGTTATTGTTATATCGCGATATAAAAATGCTCCGTTATGTATCGTTGATGTAAACAACATGATTTGCAATAGTTAGTTTTGTTCAAGACTCGCCACACTGTATTTATAAACTATTCTGTCACAGACTGATCTCATGAAATTGCGTGTGTATGACGCGCCAATTCGTATTTCCATTTTTGTCGCGCTATCAACACGCATAATCGATTTTCAGTGTGTTTATGAATGCCGTTGACTTAACGTTACATTACTGTATAAATATTTGACCTACCCCAACCCCGTCCCTAAACCTACCCGTCACTGGGGTTAATAGCATTTATGAGCCTTCCACTACCATCCTTGGGAAAAAAATATCGCTCCCTAGATGTAGATCTAGGATAGCTCAAAATGCATATAAATAACTAGAGCCAGACCGATATATCGGCAGACCGATATTATCGGCCGATATTAGGCATTTTCCAAACTATCGGTATCAGCAGTTATAATGGCCGATAAATTAATATTTAAAAAATAAAATAGAAATGGACGAAACACGCTTGAACCATGTCATGAGTGTTGGAGTTGTATAGTTTGTCCACCAGAGGGCACTCAGTCATCGGTCTGTTCTGTTGTGACAATAAAAGAAACAAGTTTCTTTATAAAATGCATTATCATATTATTTTAGTTAAAACTCATAAATAACTACAAATAACTAATGTTAGGGAAATCTGTTCATTTTTTGTTGCGCTTATCGGGAAAAAAAATCGGCCGATATATCGGATTTTAAAACCAACAAATATTTGTATCGGTATAGGCCTTCAAAAACCTTTATCGGTCGGGCTCTATAAATAACACGCCACTTGACTTGAAAGTGTATGTTTACGCAAAAGTCATGATGCCATGTTGTCTGTCATGTGGTTTCAAACCTGTGAGGTTTTCATTCATCTTCCAAACAATAATGAAGATATTATGAAACCTGAGAGACTCGTATATCAAGCTTCAGGCTAGTTTTAGTTTTGAGGTCTTGGAAAGGAAGAGTTTTGGAAGGCTGTGGATCTGCCGTTCTCACAAGTCGCAAAACATGTGATGCAAACTGCCTTGCGGAGTCTTTCACAGATGTGCTTTAGTCACAAATGTGTTCAAGAGAACAAAATCATCACTTCCTATGAAACTGGTGCACAATATCAGAAATAAAACTGAATTTCTGCAAACGGCTGTTTTCCCTCCATCATAAACAGTAAACGCTGTCGTGTTCAGATGCTGGTGTTCGGTAACACACTTGTGTGTGTGTGTGAGACGCTTCTGGAGTGTTTCAGTTTTAAATTGACCGTCATGCTAACTAAAATAGACTGCTAGTTAGTCTGTAAACCTGCTAGTTGTGTTTTAGCAGTAGCAGCACTCTGTGTTCGGTACAGTTTGGTCTTTCCCTGCAAACACGGTTGAATTTTGCCTCTTCTTTTGGATCCACAGATTGTAAGCCTGCAAGTGTGTCAAATTGGTCATTTGATGAAAGTTGTCTTTACTGCTGCTTAAGACGAGAAAAAGTGAAGGTAGTTTTTTTTTGTTCATTTACATCCCCTCCTTCCCTCTTTCCTGATATGTCAAGACACCTTGGAAGAACCGTTCCGATTTTTTTACTTATCTGTCTCTCTTGCACTAGCTGTATTATGGACTCTACAGTTATTTCAAGTAATGTTCAAAGGACACAATGGTTTCAATGCTAGCTTTTTATATGTTAAGTTCATTTTCCATTTTCCATGGTTTTGAATACATTAAGTACATGTCTCCACCTTGTGCACAGCTCCACCCTTATTCTTATTCCACCCTCTTTTTGACCTCATGAACAGGAACATGTAGTTGCACTCAACAAACAGATTGTGGAAAGTGGAGGGAAACCTTTATTAGGTAAAGATCCTTCTAATATCAACAGACTCGAGTGGCAATCAGAGGAGTTCCTGAATGCAGTGCTGCAGAGGAAAAGTGAGTACACTTGTGTAATGATCCGAGATGGTTCATTAATGGGAATGACTGCAACTTTTTCTCTCTCGACAAAATCAAGACTTTGTAAAGGGCATAAAAGGACCCCTTTAAATGAGTTTTAGCATATCCCTATGAAGCATTTCATAACAAGGTCACATCAACGCTGATTTCACTTTTCTTATGTTGCCAAATCATTTGTGTTCATTTTAACACATGTAATCGAACTATCAACAGAATACACCCCAAGGATTCCTGATCCACACATCCCTGTGGTGGCCTGTGGGATCGTTCAGCAGATGATTAATGAGTTGGCTACGTATTATACCTCAAGAAAAAAGTGTTCTCAGGACTCACTTCAAAACAATGGAGAAAAGGACCTTATGAAAACTAGCTGTGTCATTTCCCCCACTGCTGTCAATATAACTTCTGCTCTGAACAAGTTCATCATGGTGGACCAAGATGCCCCGCTGGACCTCTCTGTGAAAAAGGTCAAAGTAGAGGACATAGAGCAAGGTGCAGTATAGAATAATGAATACATAAAGAGCTACTCGTTTGAAAGAATTGTTCATTTCAGCTTTGAATTATGTCTCTCTTTAGATGGAGTTCTTGACCTCTCGACTAGAAAGAGTTCCAACAAAAGCCATACTTCTTTAAGGAATTCTAATAGCCTGGCTACACATTTGGTCAAAAGGTAAAGGAAATCAGGACTCCACTGAAATTGTATTATTTGCTCATCACATAAAGACATGTTTTGTAGTATTATCCAGTTGAGACTGTGTCTAATATACTTCTAATTTCTTTGCATGTCCTTCAGGGACTCTGTCGACCCGAGTCTCGCCCGAGAAGGAGATCTACAGTCGGTGTCCACTTTGGAACAGTTCATGTCTAAGCTGTGTTTGCATCACCAGCGCCAGATAGTCGATGCATTAGGCTTCTTGCAAAGTGAAGTCAAGACTGTGGCTTCTTCCAACCCTTTCCAAGCACCCACTCCAAATTTGACCGAGAAGAAAGCGACAACCAGCTGCAGTCGTGCTTCCTTTGAAACAAGGTCTGAAAGAACATGCACTGTGGATGCTGCGGTGAGCATTACCAACTCTCAAGAGGCATCTGTTGTTTGGACTGGAGAGGTTTTAAATGCAGGTGTTGCACGTGTAATGACTGAAAAACCGGTAGACCTTTGCAAGATAGAAGTTTTGTCGTCTTCATCTTGTGGAACAGATGTCGAGTGTGGAAAAGAAAGTTCTCCAAACAAAATTTTCGTCATGACAAAGACGACTACTGATCATCAGGAAGCAAAAAAATTATTAGGGTCAAGCGTTCAGCAAATTCAACATAGCGATTCGGTATGCAGTGCTGAGCGATGCTTGCCGACATGCACTGCAGAGTCTGATCATCCGTTATCACAATGCACACAGAAAAGCTCATTTGCACAAAGCAAAGATGCGGTTGTAAAGCCCTCCACAATTCACAAGACATCAAATGTAGTTTTACCAATATCTCTAAGAACAGCGAGGAAAAGCAGAAAAGGTTCTTGCCTTGGGCAAAGTAATGGCTCTTTAAGTTGTATCATAAATGATACCGATAGCCATTGTGACTTGGTGTATATTAGAAAATCAATAACAGAATGTCAGCTTCAATCTCGTAACCGACTGCATCCACGACATAATGCTCGGAAGAGCATAAGAGGGCACAAGTACGTCGAGGAGTACTTGGAACTAAAAACTGTCCGTACGCTAGCTCGTAAATCTGCTGGTAATTCCAGTGGGAATTGTCCAGCTCGTATGCCAGATGTGCACACCTCAGTGGCTCCAAAGCAGGCCCTTTCAATGTCTGGCAGTGTTCCTCTCATAAATGCACCTTTTGCAGGGGACTGCATGGAAAATGTTATTCATAAATTCGCATCGGAGCAGATAGCGGAGAATGAAATGCCAGGAGTTAAAGTAGCTGGTCTCGGTCTGGTGGTTGAAACCAGTCAGACTGGAAAAGTTGAAAGTAATGGGCAAATTTCCCATGAACCAACTTGTAAACCGAGTGAATTGACCATGCAACCAGATTTGATCACTGAAGCTCTCATTAATCCTAATTCAGAAGTGCAAGGAGACATGTGCATGGTAGAAATCAAAGAAACCAACAGAACTCGTTGTACAGAAAGAAGGATGTGAGTCCCAAATTGAACCCATGCTGGAAGAGGTGGAATGTGGTACAGAAAGTGAGGATAAAGCTTTGGAGCCATCACTGATCCCTGCATCCCCTAACATGGCCGTAGAGTCATCTGATGGAGTCGACGTGGAACCGAGAAATGAGAGCGAAATGACAAATCCAACTGAGGTCGAGACTGCAGCAGATGTTCACAAACAATCTGAGACCTCAGAAATAAAGGCAAACACTGAGGAGGATAAAAGTTCTCAAGAGCAAGTTTCGCATGACACTGAAAGTAATCTCCAAACGACGAACTCTTCCAAACTACCAGTGAAGGATCAAGGGGATTCAGTGGTGTCCAGCCTGACTGAAGTCTCTACTGGACAACCACTTTTAAAATGCAAGGAGAAGGATACGGAGCAACATAGTCCAAAGGTTGTGAATGCAAAACCTACAGTGTCCTCAGACAGATGCTTGCGTAGTAGAGTTTCAAAGGGCAGCGTTGACTTAGTGAAAGACTCTGTAAAGTGTGCTGCATCTGAACGTGAGCGTGCCAATGACACAAAGACTCAATCTACTGAAACAAAAGCACGTATTGAGGAAGAGTGTGATTTGAAAGCTCTAGAGATTCTTGAAACTGCACAGGAGCTCCCAGCCACCAAACCTTGTAGCAGTCTGGTTGTGGATCGTGCAGTCAAAACAAGACCAAAATTAAGAAATGCAAAAGAAAGAGATGAACAAACGAGTCCAAGCATCAAAATGAATGAGGAGTTGCCAAGTGTGTTGCCACCTGAGGTTCTTCCAGAAACTGTTAGCACCCCCTCCACCTCCACACAGAATGGGAAACACCACAAACGGAATAATCAAGCCTCTGAAAGCTCTGAAAAGATGGCAATTAAAACTGAAAGTAGTCCTATTAAACTGTCCGATAGTGGAGATTGGACGCCCATTAAAAAGTCCCCACCAAGCTCTGAAAATATGCTTTTGAGAAGCAGAAGTAACACTGAACGGACTTTTGGTTGCAAATCCGGTAATCCAACAGAAGGCCTTTCAGAAAAGCAAGGGCAGATGCCTTTAAGGAGCAGCAGCTCTGCTAGTGAGCAGGCAACGAATAAAGATTCGTGTACGTCTTCCGAGGGGGTTACGCGCATGCCCCTACGAAGCAGGACTATCAGCACAACTAAACAGACTGTTACTAAAGATACTCCTCTTAAAAGTTCCATCAAAAGTTGCGCCAGTGAACATCCTATCAGTTCACAATCCAGTACAACCTGTAGAAAAACAGAGGCCAATGCGCACATGCCCTTAAGAAGTAGTGCCAGTTTAATTGCAGAACCCCCCCATGACAAATCCGCTATCGTAGATGCATTAGAGAGCCCAGGGCGCATGTCGTTGAGAAGAGGGAATGCATCCAATACTGAAAAGTCGGTTGGCTCGACAACACCCCCCAGTAAAAGTAAGCGTCCTTTGAGACCTCAACGGGTTTCAGCATCCTCAAGTGGGGAAGCTGAAGAGAGCCCATTGAGCTCAAAACCTAAAACCCAAACCCGGAAGCATATGGAGCCCCAAATAAGAGGCCCTTTGAATATCCCAGGTGAGTCCTTATGCATAACTGGCTTTCAGAGAACTGAACCAGTTGTTTGTAGTGCCTCCAAATTCTTTGAGGCGCTAAGGGGAGAAGAACACCAGCAGATAATTTCAAATTTAAATACAACGTTTGAGAAAATGCACAAAGGTTGGGTACAAATGGACAAGGAGGGTCAGCCTGCATCTAAACCCAAAAACAAGGCAGATAGACTCAAGGAAATCTGGAAAAGCAAACGCAGGGCACGAAAGTCAAGACCATTGGAACCACAGAAGTTTTCCCCTGTGCAAATGCTTTTCATGAAGCCTTTTGACTTGCCCAGTATCTGCAGGTGGTTCCTACAATCAACCGAAACAAAATCCCTTGTAATTGTTAAGAAGGTGAACACCAGACTTCCGTCAGAAACACAATTGTGCTTTCACTCTTCATCAGCAGGAGCAGGGTCATCTCAAGGCATATTTCCGAGCCTCCAGGCGGAACGGTTAAAGAAGCATCTGAAGAAGTTTGCTATGGCATCACCGGTGAAGAGTAACCCCAAGAATCAAAGGCTAATCTCAAAAGCGTTAGGTCAGGGTATCTCCGTAATGAAGAGTAAAGAGAAGCACGAACCGACAACTGCCACGCGGATCTCTACAAAGGCACAGAGTCTTAATGGAGTGGCACTGGCTCCGGAGAGCCTCGGTGCGATCGCAGGCGTTGCGAAGAACCCAGCAAGTGCTCGCATCCTTAGGAAATACTCTAACATGCGTGAGAAACTTCAGGTTCAGCAAAACAAGAAATGCAAAGAGAAAGGGGCTCGTTTGAAGGCGGCATTAATTCCAAAGAAAGTCGACAAACCGAAATTACAGACGCCTAAAGGACCAAAGTCTGTGGTTGTCCAAAGGATCAAATCGTTCACCAAGAAGCCGAAAGCAAACTCTGCCCTCAAAGAACAGGCTTTGAAAAAGAACCAATGTGTCAAACACGGTGCCTCTCCAAAGAGGTTGCAGGCTCTCAAAAAAATGACGAAAGCCATTGGTGAGAATGCTTCGGGTAAACAACGGATACTGCTCAAATCCGGGACTAAGGCACAGCAAATTAAAACAAGTGGGACTAAAGCTGACATAAAGAAATCGGTGCTCCAAAAAGGCTCTAATAGTTCTGAACCACATTCGTTAGATGTGGACATTAAGCCTCTGGCATTGGAAGACCAAGTGTTAACTAGGTCTCAAAGAAAGATGGAGGTCTCCTCTGCACAGACGGGCTCTCCTAAAGCCTCCACGAAGCGAGGCTTGGAACCACTGGTCACTCCAACTAAACGCACACGGACCTCGAAACCCTGAGGAGTGTGTGCCGGCCTAGTGAGCTCGTGTTGTTTCTCAAGAACAAGGGGTGCTGATGCCTTTCAAAATGCTCCTTTTTTGGAAGGACATTTATTTTTTTAAATATTTTTGATGCTTGGCAGTACATTTTCAGAGTTTTGAATATATTGAGAGAGATTTGTCTTGAAAAGAAGGAACTTTGACCGCTCTACCTAACAGTGTCAAACCTTTCCAAATATGCTTTAAGAAATATACTTGTTTTAGAAAATGTTTATCTTTTTTTCCCTTGACGGAGCCATTAATGTAAAAACAAGTCAATAAAGGTTCCGATTCCCTTTACTGGGGCATTTTAAATATGGGTTATGAAAAACTCTTTTGACCGTTTGTTTGTTTGTTTGACCGTTACATTGTATAGCTTATTACAACAACTTGTAATATTGAACCAGATATTATTTAAGGAGTGATCCGCAGTTCTAAACCCATTAATAATTGTAGTGAATTAAAGTGGCTTTGTAACCTGAATAATGTGCCTTTTTTTCTTATCTGTATTTATAAATAATTGAGTTTGCCTCATGAAATAAAGCCTCACTCTTTTTGCACATAGATATAAGAAATTTGTCCAAAAATTATTTTTGTTTCTTGTATTCATAATTAGTAATTTCTCTTTTAGAGCACTGAAGTTTAAATGTTTTATTTTCATAGTCTTACCTCCTCATTTTGTCCGTTTAGTGAGATGATTTATACTTAGAAACTTGTGTGCATCACTGTTGTTCTCATGTAGATTTTCTATAGATGAGGGTAATTTTTGCATTATGGTCTCGAATGTACTAAAACCGCTGTATTTATGATGCTAAAAAGGAAACTATGCAAGATTACAGGTTTTCTAAAATATCTGCTTTAATCCAGTTTGTTACTTGGCATTTAGTTTTATTTCAGCTCACTCTGTTTTGTAATTGCATTGTTTTATTTGATTTTTTTAACATTGCTAAAAAGTAAATGTAAAATGTAGCTTACATATACCAGGCTGGAAGACCCCGTTTATATGGTTTTGGTGTGTGTCATGAGGAAAAAAAAAGATAAAAATGTAAATGAACTTGGTTTATGAGATGTGTGTATTCTGTCATTTGTCACTTTATCATGCATTTTGTTGGGATATTTATTTTTTTTGTCGCCCAAAGTAAATAAGTGATGAGGAAAGTAAAGAATGTGCAGTGAAATTTTGTAATTTTGTACAGAATTTGCTAAACACATGAGCTACGTTTGTTTAGTGAACCATTAATAATTCAGTTTTGCTTCTTAATGTTATTTCCCGAATACGAATGACAAGCAGATTCTCATGTTTGCTTTGATTTAACGTATGCCAGGAACCAGATATTTTGCTGCTCGAAGCTTTGGTTGTGGTTGTGATTAAGCAGACATAGACACTGATATAATCACACATTTTAATGAATGAAAAGGGAAGTTCAGTAAACATTTTGGTGGCGCTACTTACATTCGGAGTAACTGCAGTTAGTCAATGTAACTATCAACGTAACATCAGAAGAATAAACAGCAAGAGCTCTTAAATGTTCTATATGCAACAGCGACAGTATCTTTCACAAAGTTTCTGGAGTTCATGATGCAATGGTTGTGATTGGCACAAGGTTAAGCTCAGACCATGACATCTACAGGAAAAGTCGGAAACCCTTTCCAATGATTTGTGTGCACTGAAGCGATCATATCTTTAGCGATGACATTCATCAGCTTTCATTCCCAGTACCTCAATGTACAATAAGAGCAATAAGTATCCACCGTAGAGTAGGAAACCGGTTAATGTTTGCATTATGGAAACATCAACATGTGGTTCAATGAATGTATGGAAAATTGAATTCTCAAATAGTGGCACTTCACAAAGAAGAGTTAACTAAAACATGACTGCATTTCTCTGAGCAATCGGGGCTGGTGACTTGCTCTTTATTACGAGGACTGGATGGTAATTACACTATTAAAAATGCCTTAATAACCTCTTTTTCCTCTGGGCTTTATTCACAACTCAAAATCAGCTTTCTATCTGGACAGGTCTTAAAATAAATAATTACAAAAATCGAGCACAAAGATATTTAAAATGAATTAAATGTGGTATTCACATGGAAGACAACATTTACAATATAAAAGAAAGAAAAAAAAAACCTTCCGAAACAACACTGGCTCATATTACAATAAGGCTAATAGGCTAATTATTATCTATGCTTGTGGCCAGTTTCGAACCACCGTGGCCTGTATAAGCAAGTGAAATAAATGACCGAATAAAACACCAAAAAGTCACCAAATTTCACACTGCTGTTTTGATAATAAAATCCTGAAAACAAATTTATTCTTTAACATATAAAAATACTATACCAAAATGAAATACAAATATATATTAGAATCTGTTAAGCATTTCTGTATAAAGTGAAGGTCTAGGGAAGTTAGGAAAAGGAAATCAAAGCGAAAACAAACACCCACCGAAATTAAATGAAGTAAGCCAAACTGCACTTGTTCGCGTTTTTAACTCTAGGACGATGTTCATGGCGATTTGCAAACCTTGGTGAACGCAGAAGCTTGCCGAGGTAATACTGTAGGAGTCATTACGGCTGCGTCAGCGGATGGGAATCGGTGTGTACAGTGTTGTGGTCATAACCCATAGTCATATTGTACCCCTCAAACAGCTCCAACACTGACCCATATTAAACTGCAGTGGTTTGGCGTAGTCGGCAGGGTTTCCATAAGCGATGGTCTATTTTCTGCTCGGCAGTGCTAATATTAACCACGATCCAGACATCACATGACAATGAGCATGCATCTTAGAAAACGGTGTGATGAGATCTATCTAGCGCTTGATTTCAGCTCTCCCTTACATTCGGTCAAGGCTCTGTTTGAGGTAATGGAATGACAAAACACTATGGAATAGATCCATCTTTCTGACTCGCTCCTCGATCTACTGAAAGTCGAAATATTATAAAGAAGCTCCCGAAGGGTAACTCTACGTTATGGCACCAGGAGTGTCTCTTCATGTTCAGATGGAAGGCTTCTGGGTGATTTCGGCCCCCATGTCTTTTAATAATGAATGGAAGAGTCCCATAACACACAAAACCATTGGAAATATCTGGTTTGACAGCATGTGGTTCCATGCAAAATCTCCCGCCGTACTTGTGATTCACATGCTCTATCTTACCAGCATGTCGCTGAGGATGTATTTTCCCACACAGGTATATCATACATATAGTGCATGTTCCTTTCATCACCATTTTGGAGCGTAATCTGCTCAAATACACGTCCAGCACTGCAGAGAGAGTCATCGTTTTCTTCTAATACATGGCCTGAAACAAGCCTCTGCTTGCCCTTCTGTCAGCAGAGTTGGTGTTATTTGACCCCTTTACGGGTGGAAATGTCAGGTTGTGGTGGGAATATAAAGGTTGTGTGGGGTGGGGCGGGGTATGTCTATATTTTTCTGTTGTTGTGTTGTTGTGATGGCTCTTTCTGTGGTGTTGTGGTGTTGTGGCTCTACATGCACCCCGCACAGCCACACTTGACGGTCTTCTCCACCTCCTCGCTGAAGGACGAGCCGTCGCTGCACTCGAAGGTGTGTGTTCTCCTCTTCATGCGTTGGCTGGCACAGCAGGAGCCGGACTCGCAGACGCCACTGCACTCCACCCACGACACCATGCGTGTGGTCTGACAGATGGCGTAACCCCGCTGGACCTGGTAGAAGTCCCGCACCGGCTCCCCGTGGCACTCGGACTCTACAGCAGAACAAACAGCATTCAAGAGACACATTTAACTCTTTCCCTGCCAGTCACATAAGTTTCATGGCCCCCATAATACTTGGTATGGATACTTTTTTAAAAAAAAAAAAAAAAAGCTGAGAAAATCACAGTGATGGCCGCTTTCTAACCACTGCTTTGTGAAGCTTCCGAAACCTTTGCAAATCATTTGTTTCAGAGCATGTATCAAACTGCTAAAGTCATGTGATTTCAGTAAAAAAAGTTTTGTCATAACCGTTTCAAAATTCAATGAGGGTTTCCGATCTCTTAAAATTGGTTCATTTATGACGCAAGGCTTCCCCGCGTTGACACGTTGTTCCACCAATGACTGTTTTGGCTATTATACGGTAGGGGGCGCCGTTACGCATCTTCTAAAGATCTTCATCTGTGTTTCAGTCATTGTTTTGAATCCCATCTGAAAGCAGGGGCTTTGTTCTTTTTTTGTTATATTGATTGCAGAGTTGGCAAAGAGAAATTGATTCAATTAATTCAAAGTTTTGCCAAGATTAGTTTCTCCTATTACTTGCTACCCATGCTTTGTCATCTCATCAGAAACAGATTACTTCACATACGTTGTGCATTAGTTCTCTTACCCTTGTCGCATAACTCCCCGCTGTAGCCCACCTCGCAGTGACAGTAGGCATCTCCGGTGTCAGAGATCTGACAGTGGCCGTGTTTGCACTGCAGTTTTCTGCATGGGTTGAAGAGTTCTTCCAGCTGGTTACACAGCGCTCCATGAAAACCCTCCTGGCATTCACAACGGTACGACTGCATGTCCATTGGAATACACCTTCCATGAACACACCTGTGCAAAGCCAATGACAGAATTAGAGCATTACGTGTTGCGTGTCAGTCCGATCGGCATATTTCACTCCAAGAATTGGACTGACTTGCTGCCCAGGCAGGGGTTGGCTGAAGGCTGGTCGCAGTGTTGCCCGCTCCACCCAGGCTGGCAGTGGCACACGGGGCCCGTGGCAGTGTTGGGCTGGCAGATGCCGTGCAGGCAGTATATCTTTCGGCAGGGCTCACATCCGGGCACCACACCAGGTTTCATCTGGGTTTTGGTGAAGTCTTGTAGCTCATTATTGATGTAAAGGTTCTGAATGCAACCGTGGAAACTGGAGCCGTTTTGGATCTGCCATACACGAGGAGCTGTGGGGTGGACGCTGACCGGCATGCCTTATTAAGAGAGAAAGTGCTGTAAGAGCAGAATTGGGAAGAAGTAACACACATGCAGAAGAACACTGATGCCAGGTACGGCTAATGCTGTGCGGTATGGTCCCAGACAGAAACATAGTGTCGGCCCAGATCCGGCCCACATCTAGTTCACGTGGATTCCCCATATGGATTGCCCACTGAAGCTAAGCAGGGCTGAGTCTGGTCAGTACCTGGATAGGAGACCCCCTGAGGAAACTAGGTTGCTGCAGGAAGAGGTGTTAGTGAGACCAGTAGGGGGCGCTGCTCACCCTGTGGCCTGTGTGGTTCCTAACGCCCCAGTGAAGTGACGAGGACACCATACCATCAAAGACCATCGTCCTTCAGATGAGATGTTAAACTGAGGTCTCAGCTCTCTGTGGTCATTAAAAATCCCAAAATGGCCAAATTTGCCCAATGGCCTCTCCCCAATCATCCCCATATACACTGATTGGCTTCATCACTGTGTCTCCTCTCCAACAGTAAGCTGGTGTGTGGTGGGCGTTCTGGCGCACTATGGCTGCCGTCGCATCATCCACATGGACACTGGTGGAGACTGAAGAGATTCCCCGCTTACATGTATAAAGTGCTTTAGGACACAGAAAAGCACTACATAAATGTAACTAACTATTATTAATTAATATTTTACCAGATGTGGGCCGGATCTGGCCCGACTCTATGTTGCTGTCTGGGTCAGCACTCTTGGATAGCCTCTCATCTATCAAATTTGAGTAAAGGTAATGATACACATGGCAACTTTTTGAGCAATGTTGCTGGGCAGTCTTGCCGAGCGATTGTTCCTTGGGAACTTTACCATTGAAAATGGAATATAAATTTCTATCTGGATAATTTAGATCGGTCATGGGCCCTGTTTCTCATCTGGTTGCCCGTTGAGTATACCAAGGTTCTTCACATCCGGTCCTGGCGGGTTGCTGTCCAGCAGAGTTTAGCTCCAACCCTGCCCAAACCCACTTACCTATAGATTTCTAGAAATTCTGAAGACCTTAAGTAGAGTTGCAGCTAAACTCTGCATGACACTTGACCTCCAGAAGCTGGATTGAAGAACCCAAGACAGCAACATCTGCCCAGATCCGGCCCACATCTGGTGCGGATCTGGGCCAACACTATGTTGGTGTCTGGGGATCTCAACCATGACCACGACTAGAACTTTTCAGCTTTTGTTTTACTCCACTTGTGCATCCTAAACATCCAGAACAACGGAACGG